GAAGTCGAGCCGATTGAAACGGGCGGTAGCAGCGACATTGGCGGGGGAAGTTCAAACACTGGCGGATGGGCTTGGGCACATGGAGTGGATGATGAGTATTATGCAGGAGGCGATCGACCCGAACTTCGAGCCGACACGGAGAGAGGAGTCTTTCTCGAAACGACCATCAGTGTGTGTGATTGACTGTAAATCGGCGTATGACAACATCACGGGGTCCGGGGCACCGGTGAAGGACAAGCGAACTGCGATCGACGTGGTCATCGTGCGAGAGTCGCTAGCTCGGGTGTCGACGACATTGCGATGGGCTCCGACGACATGCCAGTTGGCCGACGGGTTTACGAAGGATGAGGCGAGACCGATTGATCTGCTGCGAGCGGTGATTCGGTCCGGGCGGTATCAGCTCTTCGACGAGTCGATGCACCTGCAGAGAGCGGCAGAGGAGCGTAGGAGACGGCAGGAGCGTGGTATTGCAGCAAGCACGACAGCTGCCACGGCTCAGACCAGGAGTACACCCTCAGTGCATTCGGCCGGGGCTGGCACCCAGAACCATGAAGTTCGCGGCCCGTTGCGACGTGCTGGCGATCCGCTGTCTCCTCGAGGTGCTGGCGGGCCCGGAGAACATGATCAACAACAGGGCCACGAGCAAGGGGCGCGTGGAGGCCAGCGTGCTGTTGGGGCGGCGCGCGGCCGGGCGCATCACGGCAACCTACACGGTCAGCACGGGCAACATCCAGGTGCAGGGCCCAGCGGCGGTGCTGGAGGAGGCGATGGACAACCTCCAGGCCCTGGACAGCATCTTCAACCATCTGCTGACGGTGGGCACGGAGGGCGTGCCGGCGGCGCCGGTGGGGCTGGAGAATGTCGTGGACGGACTGCCGGAGGAGCCGTACACCTGCTACGTGGAGGCAGCCAGCGAGCTGGAGCAGGAGGACACGGTCAGCGTGACCAGCGTGTGGAAGCCGTTGCAGACGGTTCCAAGCGAGGAGGGCTACACGACGGCGATCGAGAAGATCATGAACGAGGGGATGGAGCAGCTGAAGGACTACCCAACGTGGCGCGAGAAGTTCGTGCGCACCATGGTCGAGAGGTTCGGGGCAGCCCTGCCTTCTTCCTCGGACTGGGAGACGGTCTCGTCTCCAGGTGGAGCGTACACGTCACCGAAGGTGGATGACGAGGACATGGGCAGTGGGGACACGAGGGGCGCCCGCACTCCCTTGCGCAGTGCGTCGCGGCGTTCGGCCCGGTAGACGGCCAGAGGGGTGAGGCTGTGAGCGGGCTTAGCTGCAGAGGCGACGAATGCCTGCTCGTCTTATCCATTTTCAATTTTCACTCGTAGAGAGTGGTAGCAGTGACAGACGAGCAGGCTCTCTTTCTCTTTCTCTTTCCCCCCCGTCCTTCTCTTTTCTCCGCAGCCTTCCAGGCTCTGGCACCTTGGCCCAGGGAGGCCAGACGGCCCTTTTCTGCCGCACAGGAGTGCGGCGACACCACCAGAGGCAGGCGCGGGCGCGCCTGAGAAACCAGCATCCTGGCCATTGCTGCTGCTCTGCTGCTGTGCTGTGATCAGCAGGAGGGGAGGGGAGGGGAGGGGAGGGGAGGGGGAGGGGAGGGGAGAGGGGGAGGGGGAGGGGGGACGGGGACGGGGAGGGGGAGGGGGAGGGGGAGGGGAGGGGGAGGAGGAGGGGGAGGGAGGAGGAGGAGGAGGAGGAGGAGGAGGAGGAGGAGGAGGAGGAGGAGGGATGGAGGGAGGGAGGGAGGGAGGGAGGGAGGGAGGGAGGGAGGGAGGGAGGAGAGGAGGAGGAGAGGAGGAGGAGGAGGAGGAGGAGGCGGAGGAGGAGCGTGGAGGAGAGGGAGGGAGGAGAGAGAGGAGGGGGGGGGAAGATGGAGGGGGAAGAGGAGGTCCGTGGAGGCCAATCCTCGAGGGTCGAGGAGGTGAATGGGGATGATGATGATGATGATGATGATGATGATGATGATGATGATGATGATGATGATGATGATGATGATGATGATGATGATGATGATGATGATGATGATGATGATGATGAGAGGAAGAAAGAAGAGGAGGAGGAGGCGGAGGAGCAGGAGCAGGTCATCACTCACTCCCTCCCTCCCTCAATCCTCCCCGCTCCCCCCGCCCCCCCCGCTAACCATCCTCTTCCTGGCTTCCCTTTCTGACGCGCCAAAGTAACTGGCCCATCTCGTCGGCTTACCTTCCTGGAGCTCTGGCGCCTGCGTCCTAGCTTCTCTCTTCGGCGCACCAAATTCACTGGCCTTCTTTTCCGGCGCACATTTTTAGAGTCCTGGTTCCTTCTTCCTGGCCTCCTTTTTCGGCGCACCAAATTTATTGGCCTCCCTCTTCGGCGCACCTTCCTGGAGTCCTGGCTCCTTTTTCCTGGCCTCCCTCTTCGGCGCACCGAATTATAGGGCCCCTCTCGTCGGCGCACCTTTCTTGAGCCCTGGCTCCTTCTTCGTGGCCCCCCCTTTGGCGCACCAAATTGACTGACCTCCCTTTTTCGGCGCACCTTCCTGGAGCCCTGGCTCCTCATCGTTTCAATGCGTGCCGGTGTATAACCGCGCATGGGTTCGAGAGCCTTGGTTGTTCGGCGGCCAGCGTGCAGTCCTCTGTCTCACGCTGCGCAGCTGCGCTGCGCTGACATACGGCGCTTGACGACATGGCGGCCAGTTGCGCTGCGAGGAAAAAGCATCTCGGCGCACCAATTCCAGAGTGGACCTTCGTTGGAGTGACCTTTGGTGTGCGGTGTTCGGGGGGGCGCCAGGGAGGCCAAACTCAAGCATGCAGGCCGTTGCTGGAACATCGCACGCGGCGATCGGCAAGCCGCAGGCCAGAGGTCACCTCTTGCCTAGGGCCACCTCGGGTGCAGCCGATGCTCCCGCTCGCGATTCTCCCGCAACGTTAAGGCAATGGCACCTATACATATCCACTGCCCAGGGCCTGCCCATCCTGGGCCCACGAGCGATGCTCCTTCCATGGCCCAGCCACGAGGGCGCACACAACGCTCATGGGCCCAGGATGGGCCAGGCCCGGAGCGGTGGATGCGCATACAGATCCCGTCGCCCTGACCGTGGACCCCCGCAGAGGTCTGGACCCCCGCCTTCCCCAGAGGGCCGCCCATGCATCCCGAGCCGCTCTTTGACGGCCCCGGGGCCCAGCGAGAGGCCCCACCCAGGTTAGAGGCCACAGGTTCGCTCCACGGCGTGCACAGGGGGTGCGTGCGTCTGCAAGGGACCGAGCGCAATTTGTCCTGGAGCGCCACGCGCGCTGAAGCAGCCCCGTGGAAAGCGTTCGTGCCGGGCGGAGAAGCGGGTGGCAGAACACCGAGGTTAAGCTGCTCGAGGGGGGAAGACAAGCAGCCCAGGGACCAATCTCCTGGGTCGAAGGACCAGGAGGAGGCGCGGCAGAAGGGCAGGGGGTGGGGGAGGGCGAACATCTCTCGTCGTGATTCCGGTTCCCGACGCGAGGAGGTCGGATTTTTTCGGGCCATACCTCGGGCCTCGGACCTTTCGTCGCGATTCGTCTGCAGCGGCAGGAGGCCTGGGAGCCGATCCTCCTCCGCAGCTCGAAGGGCCCCACCCATACGCCTACACCGATACTGGCCAGGCCGACCCAGGGGCCAAGATTGGTGTGCATGCCCTTCTGCCCGAGCCAGGAGGGCGCGCGCACCGATCCTTGGCCCAGGATGGGTCTGTCCAGCGTCGGTGCATGCGCTGGCCAGGACTCACCGCGGGCAGGGGCTGAGGCCGAACATTTGGGTCTGACGGGGCGACGCAGGTAGAGCGCGGGCGTCGCGGGCTCGAAGGAGACAGGATGATCACACGCCATTTCATTTGTTGTAGATGCTGCCCTATACGCGTGGAGCGCGGTTTTCCTTTCATGTGTTCTAACTATTTCGTGGATGGTTTTCGAAAAGGCTTTCGGGGGGTTGACGGCTATCGGGGGCTCTCGAAGGCATGGTCCCCAGAAGCTCCCAGAGGATCCCAGAGGTTCCCAGAGGACGAGGCTCGTTTGCTGTTGCGTCGGCATGTGTGTTCGATATCCCCGTGCGTACTTCTTCGATGGACCTCCGGGGGCTCCAGATGCTGTCAATAACGGGCCCCGGGCGAACTCCCCCAGGGAAGCACGCCGTCCCCGGAGTCGGGGCGGAGCGGGCGGACGGACGAATTATTTGGCCTTCTAGCGCCGCCGCGCTGCTCGGGACGAAGACGTTCCTGCCCCGGGGGATCCACAGGGAAAGCGGGGGGGGGGGGCGGGGAAGGGGGGGGGAAGCGGAGGCGCGGGCGAGAGCAACAGGGAACCGAAACGGGCGCTGGGGGAGGAGGGGGGGATGGGGGGGAGGGCGGGGGACGAGTCACCATAGAACTACGAGAACTACGAGCACCAGGGGAATCACCAGCCACTGCGAGGCTCCGGGTTCGGGGCCAATGTGCCCATGTATCTACCCTCATACGCGACCTCCTTTTGCGACGTCGCCGAACGGAGGGCAGATAATCTCGTCGAAACATTTGCGTCGAAGTGATTCGTTGTGTTCTCACAGGTATGCATCGGCCAGCGAAAAAGTAAAACGTTTTATCTCTGGGTGTTTGTTCCGCGGGCCATGCAAAAAAACGTGGGGCCACCGCTCCCCCCCGAAAAAATCCGACGGGGCCAACAAACATCCGACGAGCTTTTCGACGGGCCCCGGCGGTTTTCCGACGGGGCCGTCGCGCGTAGATTTTTCCACCGCGTCCCCGGGGCTCGGGCCGCGGAACACGGGCCACGGGGCCACGGAACGCACGGGCCACGGAGGGGCGAGCGCATATCATGGCCCACTCTTCTTCGTTCAACAGTTCCCGTGCCCCCCCCCCCCCCTCGTCCGCGCACATGCCTCGGGCCATGGTTGATGACCCCCCTCTTGGACGCCCCCCCCCCCCCTCCTGGACGCCTCTTCGCTGCTCAGGGCAGGCGCGGCGGCCCCGCTGCCCCGGCCTGAGGTCCCGCGGCCATGGCAGCGGCCGTGGTGACGGTGCTGCAGCCAGTGCTGCCCGGCGGGGGCGGTCCCAGACCTCCGATGGGCAGTGCAGGGGCTTGTTGTTTATGCCACAAGAAAACATGTCATAGATCTGATGGACCTTTGCTTCTTGTCGTGTCTCAGGCCCTCCCTCCTCATCCTCCTCCTCCGTGTCGCTCCTCCGTTTTGGTGTCAGTTCGGGTCGCACTGCCTGGTCCCAGCTGCGACCGCTTAGACTGCCACTCAGCCCTTCCCATCGCGATGCGAGTCACTAGTTCTTCGACTGGCGGGCACATGTATGTCTCGCTAGGCTCGTTCGTCCGTGAGAGATGCGATTGACATTGCCCTCCTGAGGGGCAGCGGATTTTCGATCTGCCAGCCTTTTCTTGTTGTTGTCGGAGGGATGGTTTCTGTCAAGCCGAGATCGCTTGCCAGACATATATATATATATATATATATATATATACATCCTTTTATGGGGGCCGTGGAAACAAAGCCCAATCTCCCAAGGGGCTGGTTTTGGTTCCAGCCCTGAGGTCCGTGAGTCGCATTTGACTTTTTGGGGGGGGGGCGGCGCTTGGCGCATCCGCTCAGCTTTAGGGGCCCTGGGGCCCACGCGGGTCGGTCTGGCTCGAGGGGCTCCGGAGAACGATGGAGCCGAGGGCTGCGGTCCCGATTTTGATATCCGGTGGCGCTGCCGCGCGATTCGGCGCCCGTGGGGGGGGGCCGGCGCCGGGGGGAAGGGGAGAATCCTTGGAACGTCCCTCCCCCAACGCTAGGATTTGGGGACATTCTCTGCCTGGAAGACTAGAAACGCGGGGACCTGGTCAGACCAAGGACCGCATCTGGGGCTCGATGCGTCGGAGGGCCCCAGTGTCTGTTTCGCAAGGGGCGAGAGGGCCCGACACACACACACACACACATACACACACACACACACACCTACCGCGGCAAGCGCGGCAGCGGATACGCATGTTGTCATGTGGGACGGCGTCGGATCTCGTGGTCGTCCCGTCGCTGGAGAAAAATCACGGCGGAAGAGTTTGCCTGTTGTTTTTGCCTCCGCAGGTCGTTGCCGGGCCCCATGGCCGTATAACTCACAAGAACAGCCGGGACGGACGACTGGCCTTCGGGCTTCAACCGAAGCGTCGGATATCTGTGGGAAGCTGGCGCTTCGACCAGACAAGAAGCGCCCCCCCCCCTTAGGCCCTCCATGTTGCGCCACGGCCCATCGGGGGCCGAAGCGCACACCACGCAAAAACCCGCGCCAATTGTCTTGGTGCACGCCAACCCCCCTGGGGCCGTAGGCGGGGTGGTGTCGTTTGTTTTCTGGTCCAGCGTTGCTCCTCAACCTTGGCATGCATCCGGGAGCCGTTCCATGGCCCCGGGGCCCTCGAAGTCGACGGATTCAGGGCGTAGAAAATGACCTCGGGGAGGGAAGGCCTTGAGACTCGACGTCGCGGAAGAAACATTGAAGCATTTGCAGAAATCGGGACGGGAGCTTTCGACCCCATCTTTCTGGGGCATTTCTCGAGCCGAGACGTCCCGTGTGGGCCCAAGGGCCAGAAACCAATTTTTCCAGCGACATGAATCAATGACCATCTGCACGATGAAGCTCTGCAAAGGCAAGATGCGCCTGCGGGATTCCTCCCTCGTGAGGTGGTGACTTTGCCAACGAAACCGTTAAATAGTTACATGTCTGATATGATCCAGACATGGCTCGAAATGAAATGGATGCTTGTGTGGGTGCACAGTGAGCAAAAACTCGCGACGCCCAGATCTCAGGGTTGGCCTATGGGGCCCGCGCCTCGAATTCGCGGCGCGGAAAATGGGGCATCGCGAGGGGGATAGTAGCCTTCTGAGGGGGCGGGGGGCTTCTCAGAAGGCAGGGACCTTTTTAGAAAGGCCCTGAGGCTTCGAAGAAGCCCTCTCAGAATGCTGGTGTGCTTCGAGGAAGGCCCCTGCCCCTCTGCGAGGCCCTCCGCCTTCTTGGAAGGCCACCCCCCTCGCGCTACCCCCTTGCGCGCGCCGCCGATTGGGCGACACAGGGAGGGGGGCTTGACTGCGCGGACAGTCGCGCGTGAGCTGCCCGCGTGAGGTCGCGCGCAAGCGCCCCCGATTCCAATGTGGCGTGCCACGCTGGCGTCCTGCGCCAAGCCACCGCGTAAGGCCGCCACGTCACCTCGCGGAAGGCCCCTTCCTGTTCGGCGCGTAGTTGTTCGGCGTCGCTCGGAGGTGTTCTTTTTCTTGGGCGAGAACCGTCGAGGAGCATCCGGGATTATCTCGCGCAAAAGAGTCAGCGCACGAGGCCGAAACAAGCAGGGGAGACGGACATCCGAGCGATGGCAAGATTCAGAGAACGCACGCCCTTAGCTGCCCTAGGACGCCCGTGTTGAAACTGAGCACGCACCGTGCTCCAATTGTGTCCGCGCCAATACGTTGCGTGCTGCTTCGGCGCGTGTTGGCCCACGCTTCGGCGAACGCATCGCGCCAGACCCACGCGTCGAGCTCCGTATCAGTACGATGCGCGTTGCGTGCTGCGTCTCGGGGCAGCTGGGCGCACGCCGGATCGGAAGCCTGGGGCCGCGGTCGCGGCGCCGCGCGCGTGCGCGCCCCGCTGCGGGGCGTCCTGGCCGACCAGCAGGACGGGTCCGCGCGAGCACGGCGCCGTCGGGCGGCGGAGCGCCGTCGGGGCGGTCGCTTCTTGCGGGGGAGGGGTTCTCGGGCGCGCCTGGGGGGAGGGGGGCTCGGCTGCGCGAAGCCCGAAGAGAACAGCCTGCCCCAGACACGTCGGTCGCTGGAAGTAGGTATTCCTGGATTTCCAGACCCCAGTCTGTTTTAGCCGCCTTCCTACTTCAAGGGTCGAGCGGTGTTCCCTCTTCCCTCATCTTCAGGGGGCGGGCGGAAACCCAATCTACTGCCAGCACCTTCCTGCTTCATGTTTCTACCCATTTCTTCCGACCGACGGGTAACCATGCCCGGGTGGGTAAGTCGGCCAGTGGGGCCAAGGCCGTGCCAGTGGGGATGGGGATCGATGAAATGATACTCAGACAAGTTGTCGGGAGGGGGTCAGGCGGCGGGTTCTGATCTCCGCCTGACACAGGCCTCTGGGGTCTCGACCGCGTCCCCAGGGCCAGGTCGTCGTTCCCTGATGGTCCTGGGGTCGGAAACGGCTTCCAGACCCCAGAACGCCATACAACGAACAAGCGTAGCCTTTTTTCGTGGCGCCCATGGATCTGCGTGTTTGGGGCTTCGCCGCCAGGAGCAGAGCGTGCCCATCGATGCCTGGCCGGCCTCGCGGCTGCCCTTCTGGGTGCAGGGCGACACGCGGCTCACGCTAACGCTTTTCGAGGAGGGCGAGGCCGCGGCGCACGCCCGCTTCGTGCTGGAGGTGCCAGTGGGCGAGCTGCTGCGGCACTCCGACCGTGTGCAGTGCTGGTGCGCCCTGTCGAGCATCGGCGGCGAGCGAGGGGGGGGGGCGTGAGGAGGAGAAGGCCTCCTCAGAAGGCGGGAAGGCGTCTCAGAAGGCCTCCGGCCTTCTGAGAGGTCTGCTGCGTCTTCTGGGAAGGCTTCGAAAACCTCTCAGAAGGCCAGGGGAGTTCCGAGCTTTCTGAGAGGGCCCTTTCCCCTGCCGCTTCCCCCCTGGGCGCGTCGCCCAGGTGCGCCCTCTCGAGCAGCCTCGGCACGGACGGCAGCGCCGGGCGGGGGCTGGAGGCCTTCCGGGCCGCGGAGCGGAAGGCCGCCAGCACCGTCTGCCCCAAGGTCTTCGTGTCCGTGTGCGTGCAGTCCGCCGTCGGTGGCGGCCGCGGCCCGCCGCACCCGCTGAGCCGGCGGTGGGGGAGTGTGCCAGCTACGCACCTGCACCTCAGAGGAGGACATGTACCCATACCGCTACCATCTCTTGTTTTCCCCAGCACGGATCTTGGCCAGGCCGATCTCGAGCCCAGGATCGGCGCATTCGGGCATTGAGAGAACCCCCAGGCAGACAAGTCGACTGAGGAGATTTGCTCGGCTTCACTCCACATTGGCATACGGGTGTGCCAGAGCAGTCCCCTGTCGGTTTCGCTAACCGACGTGTGTTTCGCCAGATACATTCGGTTGTTTTGGGACGTCGGCTAGTGATTCCGCCCAGGTGCACTCGGAATGCGATGCCGCACCCACCCGTGAAGTGCCCCAGCAGTTTTCGCCAAACGGCGTTTTGCCAAAGAGTGTCCTGTCAATCCTCGATGCGTATGCCCTCATGACCAAGCTAGGAGGGCGTACACACCAATGCTCGGCCCAGGATGGGCCTGGCCACGATCGGTGTAGGCGCATAGCTGGCGCCCTCCTGGACCAGAGGAGAAACAGGAACCACCGCGCCAGCGCGAACCCAGCGGGAGGGCGGGCCCTGGGCGGTGGTACGCCCGCGCGCCACCCAGTACAGGGCGACGCTTCACGAGCGCCACCGCCCAAGGGTCAGTCTCCCCCCGATAGGGGGTTCTCAGCGGCGGTGGCCCCTGTCTCTGCTCTGAGGTGGGGGGGCGAAGACCTGGACGCGCACGGCGGGAGGTACCTGACGGAGCAGCAGCTCTGCGAGGAGCTGTCCTCGAGCAGACTGCAGTGGGCTCAGCTCGAGCGCGAGGCCGCGGCGCTCCGCGCCGCCAGCGCCGCGGCTTCCGCCCGCGAGAGGGCGGAGCAGGAACGGGCGGCCGCGCTCGCCAGCGAGGCGCTGCGCGCGCAGCGGGGCGAGGCCACGGAGCGCTGGCGCGTGACCGCGCTGCAGGAGGAGATGCGCAGCGGGCTCCAGGATCTGGCGCCGCGAGCGCTGCTGGTGTCTAGGGTGTCCGAGGCGGTTGCTCGGGTGTGGTCGTCTCTCCTTGGAGGTTTTCTCGTCTCCGGGCGCCTTCCAGCAGTTGCGCCTTCTCGAGAGTTTTCCGTGGGGGCCCAGATCGTCCCGAACGGCCGACGGAGGTCCGAGCAATGATCCGAAACCCACCAAGCGTCGAGGGTGGTCTAGAGCCAGCCAGATGCGCGGGGACAGACAGAAACTGCGCCGGCGTCATCGGGACGTGGGCCAGTGGCGGCGAGGGGTGCAGCCTTGCAAGAGGGCGAAGGTGAGGATCTAAGCGGGCAGGCGGCCTCTACCAAGAGGCCCTCCCAGGCTCCGAGACACCCTGAACTCCCCCTCCTCCTCCTCCTCCTCCTCCTCCTCCTCCTCCTCCTCCTCCTCCACTTCCTCCTCCTCCTCCTCCTCCTCCTCCTCCTCCTCCTCCTCCTCCTCCTCCTCCTCCTCCTCCTCCTCCTCCTCCTCCTCATCCTCCACCTTGGGTTTCCATCGCGTTCCTTGGCCGCGACATGGTGGTCATCCCGCGCGGCAAGGCCCTTCATCACCATCTTCGTGTTGGTCGCGATTGGCGCCAGTTCTCTTTCCGCTCGGGCGACCAGAGCTTCCCCCTTTGACGTCAGCGCCGGCAGGAGCCCGAAACTGGTGCGACAGGAGGTGCAGCTCAAGGAATTCTCCAAGCTCACCAACAACAAATTCAGCGGCATAACGCCCAGGGTCCTCCGCACCGACGGCCACCTCTCCGCCTCTCTGTCGACAGCAACGTGCCCATCGTCCTCTCGCACGTCGGCGCGGAGCCCACGGACGCAACGCAGGTGCAATGGTCCGTTGCGGCTGCTGTTGCTGGCATCGCCCCCGATGCTCAGCAAAAGTTCATGGACGAGTTCGCCGCCGGTTGCGGTTGCGCGAACCCGCAGGCAGCAGTGCCGCGATTTTGACAAAAAGTGGGCACCATGACGCGGCAACAGCAACAAGGACAGCACCAACTTGGTCCCCTGGAGGTTCGAGGCCATATGCGGCACCTCCCCCGCTCGTCGAGTCGCCAAACGACGCATGCTGACCGACTACCTCCGCCAGCGCAGTATGATCTTGCTCCAGGAAGCCCACGCCAACAGCGACATTCTCGACCTGATGGCCAACAGCACGAAGAATAAGTGCGCACTGCACCACTAGGGTACCGAAAACAGCCATGCCGCTGCTGGAGCGGCATTCCTGGTCACCACCAGCGCCGACTACTACGACCGCAACGTGGACAGGAAACCCGAGCATGACTTCTGCGCGATCGCGCCAGAATGCATCGCCATGGTGAGTATCACCGATAGCACGAAACGCCTCTGTATAATAGTATTCACCGCAAACAACCACAAGTTATTTCCGACCAACGCACGTGTTTTCAAGGCGGCGTGGCAGGCCGCGATGTACATGGTTCGCTCAGACCCCACGAAGTACACAGTGATCCTGCAGCCTCGCACCATGACGCTCCATGCGGACATCGCCTCGCGTCCGCAACATCAGCAGCCACTGTCACTGTGGCGGGGGGCCTTCAAGGACGTGATCGAGGTGGCAACTCGACGACCATTCATTGGAACTGCGCGAAAAACAGCGAGACGACCGTTGGCCATATCACCCTCACTTCCGAAGCGCATAACTTCCCGCATATGGAGACCGCGTCCGCCGCGGACGACATGGCACTTGAGTAGATCGGCGCGCTCGTCAGCGACAACAACATAATACATCTACGCATCCGCCCGCGAGCACAGCAACCACCCGCAGATGGAGCGACCCCGCCCGGGATCTCCAAGAGCGATTTCTACCAGCACTACGTCGCCAAGCTCAACAACATGACTGACTTCTCCTCTCATGACGCCGCGGCCACATGGAGGGCGCTCAAGGACACCGTGCACGCAGCCGCTCAGCGCGCGCGAACGGCGCTGCTTAGCTCCACCCCGACGCCCTGGAAGCCAACCACGGGGACGCAGCCGAGGCGGTGAACTCCATGGCCATGCGAAGCTTCGAGAGGGCTGCACGGTCTCCAGATGCCCCTCTTGCTCGATGTCCCATTATCAACATTGTGGAATTGGGCGCCAAACGCCTGCAGATCCACGACGACACTCCGAGTGCGAACTCCACCTGGGGGGTCTGCATCCGCGACCCCCCCGACTTCAGTGCCGAAGCGGCTGCAGCTCACGCCGGCGCGACCGATCAACGGCGAGAGCGAGCAGCAGCCCAAGTGCGACAAGCACGTGCTACCCATCGTCTTCATCGTGGCGATCGCTGGCGACGGTGGGCTTCCCGCACACGTTGGCGCGGTGAGCTGTGGGTGCCCTTCGCGAAGCGACTGATCCTCGCCGGCGCGAAGATCGCCGCGGGCGGCATTTCCCGCGTTGACAGACCCGGCGCATGCGCGGCGCCATCCAGGCGCACCAGGCCCCGATGTTCGCGGAGAGGACGATTAGCGAGCAGGTCGCGATGCGGCACTTGGACAGGGTCTTCCCCCTGAAGGCGACGATTGACACTGCCATCCCCGAAGGGCGCGACCTCGTAGCCGCGGCCACGCGCGCGGCCGACTCCGCCCCTGGCCCTGACCAGCTACCTTATTGCGCGCTGTCTGCGACGCCGCTCAGCCTCTCGATCTCGGCGGAGGCCGCGACCTTCCCGGCGCGCGGCGGCCGCGGCACCTCGCGACCTCAACTTCTCATTGATGGCGATGCCGCCAGAAGGAGAATAACCCGTTTACATTGACGCCTCTTAAAGTTAGCCAGCTTTGTTTAAGAGCACGGGGGGACCTTGAAAGTGGGGGCAGGCGGAACTGGAGCGACAACCCTACTGAAAACAAACGACTGCCATGCAAGCACGAATATCCAACACAGCAGCCGAAGACACGAGAGCAAGTGCCGCCAGCGAGCCTAGAGGGGGAGATCCCCCCGAAAGATGTTCAAGAGGCGAGCCCGAGCCACCTTGGGCCCAAGTCCAGAGCGGTGCCTGACCTGGCCTCGGGCCTATCAGGGCCCGCGATAAAACTCGGAAACGCATCAGTCCCAGGGATTTAGCCCCAGGGTGGGAGCGGTGGGGCCGAAACTGCAGCCAAACAATGGTAATGACATGCAACGAAGGGATGCAGTGTAGGCGGCTAGGTACATTGACGATGCTACTGTAAAAGTGTGTTTGTAAAACGCGTATTTACATTGACGCCTCTTAAAGTTAGCCAGCTTTGTTTAAGAGCACGGGGGGACCTTGAAAGTGGGGGCAGGCGGAACTGGAGCGACAACCCTACTGAAAACAAACGACTGCCATGCAAGCACGAATATCCAACACAGCAGCCGAAGACACGAGAGCAAGTGCCGCCAGCGAGCCTAGAGGGGGAGATCCCCCCGAAAGATGTTCAAGAGGCGAGCCCGAGCCACCTTGGGCCCAAGTCCAGAGCGGTGCCTGACCTGGCCTCGGGCCTATCAGGGCCCGCGATAAAACTCGGAAACGCATCGGTCCCAACCCCATCAAATCGAGACTGGCATACATGCCTAAACACCAGCCTTCAGCAGATAAGGGAGGGAGGGAAGGGTTCTTATCTATGTTGTGCTCCAGCCCCCCTGTTTTATGTAAAACCCCCGGTCCCATCTTTGCTCTTTATTCTGTTCAGGAATACAGGGGAGGACAGGGGACACTCGACACGCCTCCAGGCACGCTTCAGCTATGCTAAAAGATAATGATAATTATCACTAGCCACGAGCAGTTCTCGTCTTGCGGCTGTGACGGGCTCGGGCTGCTGTACTCGGGCGGCCCGTCGTCAGCACCCGCCCGCCGTCAAAACAGGGGATCTCTACCTGTGTCCCCTGCACCCCCGCCAGCTCCTCCAGCAGCTGCCTTGCCAGGGGAGTCTGAGCGGCGGGGGGCTGCCTGATGAAAGTCATCAGGGCCTCAGACGGGCTGGCCCAAAAACTGGAGCCTGCCTTCACCTGCTCATCTGACATCTTTGCGAGCTGGCTGACAAGCATATGCGTCTTCGTGTAGCGCGCCAGGGCCGACGTTGTCTGCCACCTGCCCTTGCGCCTAGCGGCCTCCAGGCAGCCGCCGCCCGCCACGAAAGTGGCCGCCCCAGAGTGCCGAATGGCATGCGGGGGGCCCATGCCAGCGAGGCCCTCGTCCTTGAGGGCCTTGTGCCACTCGCGCCTGAACCTGTCCTGCGAGACGGGGAAGACGAGGTCCTTGCGGGCGCAGCCCCGCAGCAGGGCCCGCACCGCGGCCGCGGTCACCGGCCACGAGAGCACCACGCCCTGGTTGGCGCCCGTCTTGACCTTCTCGCCCCTCTCACGCCTGCCAAGGGTGAAAGCAAGCTGCCCTCCTGGCCCCTCTGAGACGTCCTCGGCCCTGAGCTGGCCCCAGTCCTGCTCCCTGAGCCAGCCGTCCAGCTGCGTGAGCACCGCTGAGCCCTCGATGAGCTTCCCCGTGCGGAACATCCTGCTGATGACCAGCCCGACCGCCTCCATGGGCACAGGAGCGCCTTCCCCCAACTCGCCGAGCCGAGCCCACGCCTTCAAAGCTCTCGCCGACGTGGGCAAGCGGTCCCGGTGATCCTGGAAGACGTGCATGAATCCGTTGAACAGGCTATTGCCTCGCCCGAAGCCGAGACGTCGCACGTAGCACATGTCCGAGATGTAGTCCGCCAGTGCCTGGTCCCTGGCCTCGTAGGTGGTGAAGTCCAGCTGGTTCCTCTTGACGTCCACCAGGAACTCGCGCACAGCCTTCTGGTAGACCAGGTTCGTCGCGTCATCCACCGCGTGGATGACCAGGCGGTTCGTGTAGCACAGCTTGTCATGCTGCGCCTCCTCCCACGCCCGCGCCCCCTTCTTGGCCAGGGGCGGCTGCGCGCTTGCTCCTCGTGGCCTGGCAGCCCTTGGACTCGGACTGTCCTGGCAGCCCACGGCACCTCCTCTCGACACCAGCGTAGCCACAACTACAAGTGCACT